CAGACTAGCCACTACCTGATGAAGAGTGGACAAAAGATCAGTTTTCTGAAGTTACAAATGGAGCACAGCATGGACTGACTAGCCTCAGTCTACTGGAACAAAAAGGCAAAGCATTTTGTTCAGGGAGGGAACATCCCAGGAGGGGACTAAATAAGAAAAAAATGGTCAAGCCACAAGTATCCACACCAACTGTTTCTTCCTAGACAGGAGATGGTTCTCAGATTCTCATGAAGCCAGAATCTGGAAGTTGCTTCTGAATGATTTCTGTGCATGCCAATGAAACCTAGGTAATGTTCATGCTGCCTGATAATGCAGCCTTGTACTAGCCTGGCCCCTCAAACATAGTTCTTTAGCCAAACCTAACTGTTCACAGTGCCCCAGGGCAGACTAGCCTTCCCCCATTTAATTAATATATATATATATATACACATATACATATGTCTATTTATGAACTGTCTATCTGTCCATCCCTCTATCTGTCTGCCTATCTATGTCTATGGGCTCTGTTCTTTCTGTTGATCTGTATTCCTATCTTTTTGTTAGTACCACACCATCTTGATTATGGTATCTTTGCAATAAGTCTTAAAATAGATAGTGTAAGTCTTCCAATTTTGTTCTTTTCAAAGTTATTTTAGCTAGGTCAAGTCTCTTATATTTTCCTGTAAAGTTTAAAAAGCTTATCCTTTAAAAAATCTTGCTGATATTAACTATCAAGTCTAATGTATCACTAACACTGTCTGTCCTTCTATTAACTCCTCCCCAGGACTTTAAATTCTTTCAGGCATATGTTGGTTTTTTCAGTATACAGATCTTGCATGCATCTTGTGAAAATTATTACTAAGTGTTGCACAGGACTGGATGCTACCAGTATTTTTAATTTAAATTTTCAGTTGTTCACTGCTAGTACATAGAAATACCATTGATTTTTGCACACTGACTCTCTAGCTTGTGACCTTCCCAAACACTCTTGCTAGTTTTAATAGCATTTTTTTATTCCCATAGATTTTTTTAAAAATCGGTAACCATGTTCTCTGTGAATAAAGACAATTTTACTTTTTAATTTCCAAACTGATTTTTTTCTTCTTATTTTATTAAACTGGTTAGAACCTCATGTATAAAATGAATAAAAGTGGCGAGAGTGGACATTTTTTAATTCTTCCTGCTCTGAGGGCAAATATTCACTCTTTACCATAAAGTATCATGTTAGTTGCAGCTTTTGTAAAAGTCCTTTATCGAATTCTATTCCTTGTTTCTTGACAGTATCAATTACAAATGGATGTTAATTTTGTCAAATACTTTTTTCAAGAACTCTTTTCCCACTTTATTTCAATGTTTTCTGTACATTTTGGGTACCCCAAATACCTCTGAGCATCCAAGATCACACCTCAGCCATCCAGGAACATGACTGAGGTGGGGAACTTAAGAGTGTTCAGACACCAGTGGTAGGAATTTGCCTATATTACCTCATGCAATTTTCACAAATTCAGAGAAATAAGTATCTCCATTGTACAAATTAGGAATGAATAAGAGATGGAATGATTTAAAAGCTAAAAGATGATTGAGTTGTGGAAAAAAACCTCTGATTCATTACTCATTAAAAAGAAAAGGTAATCACTAAGTTCAGAAAAAGTAAGATATGCAAAGGAGGCTTCTTCCAAATGTTATGCCAGCTTAAATGAAGTGTGATTCAGCCACTCCAGGCAGGGAAAGAATAAAGAAGCCTGCTAATCTAGGTGGAAAGGATGCTGTTCTTAGGATGACCATCAAACCACTAAGAGGAAAAAGTAAGTCTTGTACAATACCTGGCTCCTCCATGTGTTTGTATTTCATAGTCAAAAAAATGTACATTTAAGTTATTGGTTTACAAACCTGAGGATTTGATCTGTAGACAAAGGATAGACTTAATTATGTTTATACATCAAAATGCAAATGTTTGTCAACCTTGCCAAAGCAAAAGTTCAGATAGGTCTGAAGGAAGTTGTAATGTGGGAGAAAAGTAAGAACATTTTAGCAATGTTAACATTCTTATTTTGCAATATGGGAATATTTTTTTTTACTTTTGGTGAGACTGGGGCTTGAACTCAGGGCTTCACACTTGCAAAGCAGGTATTCACAAAGCAGGTACTATACCACTTGAGCCACACATCCAGTTCATTTTGCTCTAGTTATTTTGGAGCTGGGGTCTCACACACTGTTTGTCCAGGCTGGCCTCAAATAGTGATCCTCCCAATCTCAGCCTCCCAAGAATTTAGGATTATAGGTGTAAGCCACCAGCATCTGGCTCAAAAGGGTAACATTTAAACCTCTGTGAGCCTCAGTTCCTATTCTTCAAAATGAGATATAAAAACTTACCTAATGGGGTTTTTGTGAGGAAGAATCAATCTATGTTTGTAACGAGCCTAATAGGAAATAGGTACCCAAAGTAACTGTGGCAATGACAGTAGTAAAGGGAGTTCAGCCTGAGTTACGGTAGGAAACCAAGCCACCTCCACTTCAGAAGAGAGCAACCTCATCGTCAAGGTTAGACAGATGCTGGTTTTACCCAGAGGCAGGTCGTGAGTGTGAGTTATGAAAGGGCAGTCAGTGGCTCCAGCACAGAACACCTAAGTGGCAAGACAACCCTGTGAGTGACATCGCCATCCCCATTTTAAGGTTGAGGGGATAAAAACCCCAAGAGGCTGCCTGACTTACCTAGGACCAGCCAGAAGTGGCTGGGCTCGGGCTGAAACCAGGAATGGTGACTTTAGACTCCATTGCCTGCCGCTGAGCCAAGTGGCACCATGAATCTGAAACCCTGGGTGAGCAACTAGTGTATGCTCTGTACACATTTCTAATGAATAGGTCCCTAGGTTTAATTAAGGGGAAAAAAGATTAATCGTTTCTCTCAACAGCTGCAAATTATTTACATTGCATTTGTGTTGATAGCTAATAAAAGAGCAAAGGAGTGTGGGGACAGCCCAGGGTGGCTGTAATTTTTCCAGGGTCTATAATGAAGCATTGGACTGAATGCCAAACTGAGAGAGTAGATGAGCCTGCTGTCCTACACACACCTGCAGTGGGCAGAGCTGCTCTCTGCCATGGGCATGATTCAGCCAGCAGAAATGGACCGTAGGGGCCAAGACCTGAAACTGGCAAGGCATATATCCCTGTTCCACGAAACTACCTCTCAAGTAGTTGGTGATTGCTGGGTGAGGACAAGGATGGTGGCCCAGGGAGAGGCTACCACCAATCCTGCTCTTAATTGACCTTTTGGATGCTGAGGTAGGAAAGGGCAGGAGTCTCCTCAACAGAGTTGCTCTTAGTTCCATAAGCTCTGGCTTTACCATGGCTACTGAAATGTTTGTGATATAAAACATATGGTGTAATTTGTTTATGTATGTATGTGAATGTATTTGTGTATCCCTTTTGAAGATCATGCTGTTACAGGTTGAATTATTATCTTTGGGGTTTTTCACTTAATTAGTTACTAGCCATGTAGTCATTTGGGAAAGTCATACCTTGTGGAAGTCATTTCTGCATCATCTTCATAATGATCACAACTACCTCACAGGTTTCTGTGGGGAGTATTACACATGACTACATCTTTAAAACTGTGAAGCGGGGTGTGAGGTTTGGCATTGGAACAACTTTGAGAATTGTAGGGCTCCCTCTAACCTATTATTTTGGTTTTTTGTTATTGCTATTGGTTTTCTTGCAGTGCTGGTAATCAAACCCAGGGCCTCACACGTGCTAGACAAGCACTGTACTACTGAGCTACATTCCCAGCTCTTGTTATGTTGTTTCAAAAGCATCTGCTTTGCATTCAGACTTCTGTGAGAGTATTTGGGGAATTAAAAAAAGACTAAGAAGCTCACAGTTGAGTAAATTAACTTAATATTTTAGAGGAGTCACTCTTGATGCTTGTGTTGCGTCATTTCAATTCTCTAGTCATCATTAACACCTGTTACATGTATGTTATACTCACGCTAGGGTGGTCGTACAAAGTACCATCAACTAAGTATTTCAGAACAAGAGAAATGTATTGTCTCTCTCTCTACCGGAGACCACAAGTCTAAATTCAAGGTGCTGAGGCTCTAGGGAAGGATCTGGTCCAAGCTCCTCTCCTACTCTCTGGAAGTCATGGCTTATGGCAGCACAAATCATGTCCTCCCTTGTCTGTATGTCTGTCTCTGCATGTGAACTTCTTTTAATGAGGACACCAGTTACATTGGATCAGAACCTACCCTAGTGGCCTCCTTTTAACATGATTGCCTTTGTGAAGTCCCATTCTGCAAATATAGTTAAATTCTGAGATAGTGGGGAATCAGGACTCCAACCTATTTTTTTTTGTTGTTGGGAAGTAATTCAATAAGTAATGTATGTTAGATAGGGATTTTAAATGTATTCACTTTCATTAGATAGTGTATCATTCAATTGGCCAATTTATTGAAGAACAACTGAACTTGCTACATAGCTTAGATGATTTAAGTAGTCTTATAAATGATCAGAAAATGTTTGAATGTTTGTTTTATCTTTATAACAAGCATACACATTGGTGCTTCTACATATGTGTGTGTACAATAGATGCCTGTATACCAGATGCAGTCACAGCTCCTAAGAATGGATTCAATTAGGTTGAAGTCAGAAATCCTAGCATACACAGCTATAATTTGGTAGTCTGTTGATTGATAATGAACTCTAACCCTGTAATGTATATATATATTAGTATTTGAGAAATTAAGTTGTTAAAAGATTCTTAACAATATAATATAATATCTACCTACACTGGACATCCACAAACAGAAATGATGAGATTTTGGTAAGGTGAAAGAAGAGCAAAGCCTATGGTCTTTGATACCAAAGCTGCATTTGAGTGTTGAAGCTGCTCCTTACCATATGTCCGCCTGGGCTGAGTGGTTGAACCTCTCTCTGCACTTCTCTGAAGCTTCTCTGGCTACAAACTGGCTAACATGCTCTGCATTCCTCCTGGGGTCGTCAGATAAGAGTCTGTGATTGCAGAAATGTACAGTATCAATATTGTTACGACTCCATTACTCACTTGCTGATCTTTTTGTTTGTTTGTTTTCTCTTTTTTGGTAGTCAACAAACACAAGCCGTGGATTGAGACATCGTATCATGGAGTTATAACTGAGAACAATGACACCGTCATTTTGGACCCGCCTCTGGTGGCCCTGGATAAAGATGCACCGGTTCCTTTTGCAGGTGAGATAACGGCTTAATATGGTTGGATTCTGCTCACTTTGGAGACATGCGATGAAACTTCCACAAAACCCAGGCTATGGTTATCAGGCCGTGTGTGTTGATCAGTCGATGGTGTTAAGACCGCATGCCTGCTCTTGTTCTGGTGTGGATTCCGTATCTGCTGGTGGTCGTTTTCCTTTACATCACTTTCAATGCAAGACTCCTCTGCTGAGATTTGATAAATTGTGGAAGTGATCCCTGACGTTGAAGAAGGTGGACTTGTGAAGTAATTAGGGAAATTGTCCCTTTAGAGAGATGACTCATAGACATGATAAAATGTGTGATCCACTGTCCCCATTACTCACTTATCATGGATAACTGGAGACTTGTAAATTGGTAGATTGTCAAGAAAAAGGGGGACATATAAAGGATCATTAAATATTTGCTGAGGGTAGGACAGGGTCCTGCCCTTGAGGGTAAATGTAGGTGTGGCTTTTGAAGAAGGAATTCAAGTTTGCCCTCTGTATCTTGGGGCTAGAGAACTTTGTGCTGTCATCAAGACTATCTCTGCTTTCTCCCTTGACCTCAGGAAGAGCAAGGGCTGTGTTCAGGACACTGCTATGTCACATGTTTCCATGGATTTGAGGACAGACAAGGAGATGGGTGCTGGCAGGGGTAGGAGGGATTGGACAAAAAATTTCTGAAGATGCCTGTATCATGGGTAATACTGTTAACATTTTATAACTGTCAGGAGAAAGACAGGAAAGTTAATGAAGGTTTTCAAGACTTTGAGAAGATTGCTTTATGATAGATGGATGCCAGGCAGACGCTTTCGCCATGCTGAAGTCCATTTTTTCTGACAGTTTTGTCTGCTACATGATGAGCTACTTGGACAGAAAAAAAATTGACTCTTTTTCACTTTTAAGCAATAAGCTCTGTGAGGGCCCTTTATCCATTATGGGACATTAGAAAGTAAGGAATGATGGGGTATGTGAAATTCAGCATTGTGTGATTATGTGATGTTAAACCTGTAAGCATTCTTGCAGAATGTTGGGGAGATACTCTTGATTCTCATAAGAAGGTTTTATCTTTATTCCATGTAGGATTATAACTACCAAGGGGGCACCTAACTGTGACTTGCATGGTGTTTAGAGTTGGGGCATTTTTATACATCTTCCAGATCTCCTCAATGGTCCCAGTCTGACTAAATGCCGTTTAGGACAAATCTCATGCATCTGTTCCATAAAAGATGAGCTATCACCAGGTCCACACCTGTAATGCTATGTACTTAGGAGGCTGAGATTGGGAGGATAGAGGTTTGAGGCCAGCCCAGGCAAACAGTTCATGAGACAATATCTCCAAAATAACCAGAGCAAAATGGACTGGAAGTGCTGCTCAAGCAGTAGAGAGCCTGCTTTGCAAGCATGAAGCCCTGAGTGCAGCCCTAGTCCCATCCAAAAGAAAAAAATGATGAGGAATCTTACCCAAACTTTTGCTAGCCTGGGAATGCTCTTCAATTTATTCCCTTTTGAGGAATGATATGATACTGGGGTTAACCAGCAATTCTTAGGAACACCTAGGAATGAGATTTTTATGCAAATATGAGAAAAATGCTTGGGTTATGCAAGTGTTTGGCTTAACATGTACTAAATAGAGACAGCATGTAGAAATTGGAAGATTAACATAAAAATCCAAGATTTTGGTTAACCTTGATGGAGGAAGTCTGAAATACAGAGCTGAGTCATGGCTTCACTCATGTTTGTCAGGGGACAGGCTCCCTCTGTGTAGACCAGGATGGCCTAGAACTTGCTTTGTAGCTCGGGCTAACCTCAAACCTGGGTTCATGCTGCCTCAGCCTCCCTTCATGGGCACACAACATGCCAGCACACCTGGCTTGCTTCCTTCTTTTTATATTTTATTGGCTGTGCAAAATGATGGATTTCATTATTTTCCTACATGTTTACAATGTACGTCAATCATATTCACCTCTCCATCACCTGCTCTTGTCTCCTGCCCCCTCCTCCCACACAGTCCCCCTTTTACTTTCATGTTTTTATGTAAATTCTAGTTCCACATATGAGAGAAAACATGCAGTATTTGTATTTATGAGTCTGACTTATTTGACTTAACATGATGATCTCCACTTCCATCCATCTTCCTAAAAATGGTATAATTTCATCTTCTCTCTCTCTTTTTTTTTTTTAGTAGTACTGGGGTTTGAACTCAGCACTTGCTAGGCAGATGCTCTACCATTTGAGCCACACCACCAGCCCAATTTCATTCTTTATGGCTGAATAATAGCTTATGGTTTATCACATTTTCTATATCTGTTCATGGGTTGATGGACACTAGTCTGATTTCATAGCCTGACTGTTGTGAATAGTGCTGCATGGGTGTGAAGGTACCTATCTCTATTGTATGCTGACATTGGATGTTTCAGGTGTATGACCAAAAGTGGTATAGCAGAGTCATATGGTAATTCCATTTTTAGTTTTTATGAGGCGCCTCCTTACTGATATCCCTTGTAGCTGCAGTAATTTGCATTCTCACCAACACTGTATAAGTGATGCCTCCACCCATTCCACATCTTCACCAGCATTTTATTTGTCATTTGTTTCCTCGAGAAAGCATACTGACTGGGATGAAATGAAATCTCAGTTTTTATTTGCATTTCCTTTATAGCTAAAGATTTTGAACATTTTTTTCATATATTCATTGGCCACTTATACTTCTTTTGAGAATTGTCTGTTCAATTCATTTGCTCATGAATTGTTTGGACTATTTGTTCTTTTGATGTTTAATTTCTTGAGTACCTTATATATTACAGGTATTAATCCCTTGTCAAATGAGTAGCTGGCAAAGATTTTCTCCCTTTCTGCAGGTTGTCTCTTCATTCTGGTAATTGTTTGCTTTGCTGTGCAGAAGCTTTTCAAGCTTGTATTTAATGCACTTCCATTGTTAATTCTTGCTATTATTTCATGAGCTATTTGGAGTCCTATTCAGAAAGCCGTTACTTATACCTGTATCTTGAAGTGTTTTTGGGTAACAGTTTCAAAGTTTCATGTCCTACATAAATGTCTTTGATCTGTTTTGAGTTTATTTTTGTCCAAGGTGAGATACAGGGATCTCGTTTCAGTCTTTTAGGTGTGGATATCCAGTTTTTCCAGCACCATTTGCTGAAGAGGCTGTCTTTTCTCCAATGTCAGTTTTTGGCACCTATGTCAAGAATCAGATAGCTGTAGCTGGATTGGGTTGGTTTCTCTCTGCAGACCAAGCGTGTGCTCCAGCTTCCCCAGGCCTCTTCTCTCACAGCTGCAGGGCCTCTCCTTCAATCTTTCATTGAATGCTTGACCTCTCTTTCAAATGTAACAGAGTAAACTAATGGCAAAGGAATGGGAAGTAAATGGATGCCATTAAGTCATTTTCACTGTAGTGTGGCTAACACTTTAAAAGATGAAGAATGTGCCCAGCTATTCATTAGTTCTACCCTTAATCTAGCCCTGTTCTCATCCAATAGTGAGCAGGGAAACGGAAGTCTATAGTAAAGTTACAATCTCTCTAATATACAGTCTGCAATAGAAAAAAAAAACATTTCTAGCAAATCTGATACTGTATTTGCAAAAGATTAATTAACTTTCTTGATTGTAGGGCTGAAGGCCAATTAAGAATTTCACCTATAGATTTACCAAAGGGTTTCCTAATTCGTGAATCCATGAAGTGCCTTTAAACTTGAATTTGTATTCTCACCATTGCATTTGCCCACAGTTGTTCAGACATGTTTTGAAACTAAGATTTGCTTCTAAGCCAAGCCCTCAGTAGTTATTTCTAACTAAAGACAATTTCTATAGCCCACCTGTTATTTGCAGCTGCCTTAAAAAAATCTAGCTTAATGCATCAAAATATAATCTGCCCAGCTCTTAAGAGTAAAAAAAAAAGGTGCTTTTTAGAATGGCCAAAGCTATTTTTCTCAGTGTTATTTATGATCAACTCTAAGACAGGACACAGGCACTAGCCATCCATCCATGCTGTGGGCGTTTATTTTAAAACATCTATCTTAAAAAGAAAATACTGAAGATTTATTTCAGATTCCTATCATTCTCATAAAATTGAAAAATTCATATCTGCCAGCTCCATCACTACTGGAAGTCAACTGAAGCTCTTAGACCTTCTTATCAACTGCTCATGCATTGGGGGTCATTTTCCCCAAGCCTTTCACTGGGTCTTTATTTCCAGTTTAGCCTGTGAGCTGTAAGCTCTGTGGAAGATTGTTTCCTCTATATTATTTTTGCTGGGTCTTGTTTCTCTTATCTCTCCCCTACCCCATGTTATAAACCATTATTATTGTATGGGAAATTTTTTTCTTTTTTTCTTCTTTTTTTTTGGTAGTGGTACTAGGGTTTGCATTCAAGGCTTTTGTGCTTGCTAGACAGGTGCTCTACCACTTCAGCCATGCCTCCAGCCTTTTTTCTCTGGTTATTTTTGAAATAGTGTCCCATTTTTTGCCCAGGCTGGCCTGGATCTCCATCCTCCTATTATATACTCCCCACATAGCTGGGATAACAGGCATGCACCACCAGGCATGGCTATTGGTTGAGATGAGCTCTCCAGAACTTTTGCCAGTATTGTCCTTGTGTTGTGGCAATATTGTCAGAGGAGAAACCAAGCAACACTCGGAGGAGTGGAGAACTCAGATTTTAATTTTTATGCTAGCGGGCCCAGACGTGTACCTATGTCTGAGCCCCGAACAAAGGATTCACAGGATATTTAAAAGGCAGTGCAGGGTATCAGGTTACAAGGAATGTGCTCTCCCATAAAGTAAGGCTAGTAGTGGGTTAGAGACCTAAGGTTTAGATAAGAGCAGCGGGGGAGGCCTGCTTTGGAAAGTTTATTTACATGTGGAGACAAAGGAAGGCAGGAATGGGTGCTTATCTCTGCATGGTGCCTTTCATCTTGGTCCCAAACTTTTGCATGGCTCTAATGGGCAATTCCTCACAGCTCTGTCCGAGGTTACAGCTTTTAAT